CCGCCTCGTGGGGACCAGCCTCGTGCTGATCTTCCTAAGAGAAATTGTTCAAGCAACTCCCATGTGCAAACACACATACTTTCTAGACTCCCTAACACCACACCATCTCTAGCCATACTCAAGGGCTTCTACTACACAGCGTCGTGTTCTCTGCCTAATGATGGCATTTCCCATGCTGTATCATTATTGTTTGGTTGCTTTTCTGCAGCTCCCAAAGACAGTGACCTGGTCTTGTTTACCATGTATCCTATGGGCTAAGCATATAAACCAAACCAAAACTTATTGTCCAGTCAATTCCAACTTGCGGCAACCTCAGGTGTTACAGAGCAGAACTGAGCTTCACAGGGTTCTCTTGGCTGAAATCTTTATGGACACAGACCTCCAGGCCTCTCTTCTGCAGCACCACTGGGTGGGTTTGAACTGGTAGCCTTTACATAAGTAACTGAGTATAAACTATTTGCAGGATCTGGGGACCTTTTGTTGTCAATAAGTACTGGTTGAAATAAATTTACAATGTACAAAGAATTTTCCTACAAATAATTTAATAATAAATAAATAAATAAATCCTGTGAGGTAGGATAGGTATAAAGAATATTCCCATTTTACAGATGGTTCAACTGAAATTAATTGGCTTTGTTAAGGTAAGTAGGCTGGGACATTGGTACCATGCTCCTCTAATCTTATATTTAACTTGCATCATCTTTGTTGTTGTTGTTATGTGCCATCAAGTCGGCTCTGACTCATAGCCACACTGCATTTTCCATTATTTTGATACAGTACACATGCATCTCTAAGCTTAGTTTAAATGGTACATTTTTTTCCTAAGATTCTTTTTAAGATTTTATCAAGGAAAATTTCCAACACACATAAAAACAGAGTGTAATGACTCCATATGCAATCATTCTCAGTTCAACAATCAAGTCATAACCACTTCTGTTCCTTCCATATCCCCATGCACTTTTCTACCTTTCAGAACACTGGGAGGAAACCACAGACATTGTATCATTTCTTCTGTAAATATTTGTTAAGTGGTACTTTAAAAACTATATTCACAAGTTTATCCATTGGTTAGTATTAGAAAGATCCCTAAGTGGAATCCTCTCTCATAGCTCAATAAGAGAATACCTTATTCTCACAATTTCTTTATTCAGGGTAGGAGTACTATCCCTTTGGGTATAAAATCTATCATCAACATTCAATCATCCTGGATAAGGTGATATGGATTAACTAAAACTCATTCCATCGAGTCAATCCCCACTCACAGTGACCCTACAGGACAGGGTAGAACTGCCCCATAGGGTTTCCAATGCTGTAAATCTTTATGGAAGCAGATTCCTCATCTTTCTCCCACAAAACGGCTGGTGGGTTCAAACCCACCGACCTTTTGGTTAGCAGCCAAAGCTTTAATCACTATGCTACCAGAGCTCCTTGATATGGATTAAAGCACAGGTAAAATAAACATCAAATTATCTCCTGACTCCAAAAAGTCGATCTCAATACTTCACAAACTTGAAAGGAATATATAATATGATGCTTGTCACTCTTAATAACTCTTTTCCCTTATTCCAAGGTATCGAACCAGCTGAGTGAGAAAGCCAACAGGCACAGCTTGAGTGGAAGACCTGCCTGTGCCTAGCTGAGACTCAATTTGTGCTTCGGCAAAATAAAAACTGTGAGATCAATTCTTAAAGGAAGTGTCCTTCCTTGAACATAAATCTTAGACACAAAACCATCTCAAAAGTGATGAGAAACAGGCTGTACACTAATAAAACAGTATCACACTCATCAGCGCTGTGCCACATTGTACAAGAACATAATGGGTCCTTAAATCTCTTCAACTATCCATGGCGCCAACAACAGGGGGCGTAGAAAGCTTCAAGCCCTCTTCCATGATATAAAAATTGTCCACAGCCAGTAAAGCGGGCTGGGAAGGTCATGTCTGCCCTCCCTAAGAGGCTTCACAGTGAGAAGTATGTTGGAGAGCTGCCAGCACTTACTTTCACTGTGAAAACAAATCCGGAACCAGGATACACACACATCCATGTACGCATATTACTGCAATGAACTTAAAACTTCAGGTCACCAAGACCAATGTAATAAATCTGTCCTTTGTTTCACAAAGACATAGTGAACTATGCTGTTAGCTGCCACTGAGTCAGATCCCAACTCATGGAGACCCCACAAGTAACAGAATGAAACGCTGTACAATCCTGCACCGTCCCCGTGATTGGCTTCAGGTTGGAGTGTTATGATCCAGAGGGTGTTCACTGGCTGATTTTCGGAAACAGATCACCAGGCCTTTGTCCCAGTCCATCATCTTAGTTCCGAAGTGCCACTGAAACCTGTTCAGCATCACAGCAATGTGGAAGCGTCCACTGACAGACTGGTGGTAGTCGCACGTGAAGTGCACTGGCTGGGAATCGAACCTGGGTCTCCCCATGGAAGGTAAGAATTCTACCCCTGAAGTACCAGTGTGCTCATTTTCAACTACGGAACTGTTACTTATGCAACCCTAGCCTCTCATTTTATAGATGTCCATAATCTGTAAAATGCTATGTTAGCATGGCTTTCAGTATTATGCATGCAACAAATATTTACTGAGCATCTATTATGTGCCGTGCATTGTTCTGAGCAGAGTGTACATCAGTGAACAAAATGTGTAATACACATAATAAAGAAATGTTAGGTAAAAAGGTAGAACATGCTATGGGAAAAAAAAAAGAAAGGTAAGGGATGTAGGGAAAGGGGAGCGGGCATCAGAATCTGTGGGTCAGGGCAGGCCTCGTTGAGAAGGTGTGATTTGAGCAAAGCCTTCTGGGAGGAGAGGGAGGCGCCAGCTGATGCTATAGAAGAAGAGCGGCCCAGGCAAGGGAGCCCACTGGAGCAAAGGTCCTCAAGTAGGAGTGTGCAACACACGTCTGAGGAATCAGCGAAGTGAAAGCAGCTGGGCAGAAAGTCAGAGCGGTAACAGGGGTCAGGTCGTCTAGGGTCTAGGCCACGTGGGCCATGGCAAGAGCTTTCACTTCTGTTCTGAACGAAGTAGGAAGTGTCTGCAGGGGTGTGTGAAACCAAGAGCAGCATGGTCTGACATCGATTTGCAAAGGCTCTCCCTGGCTGCATTGGAGAGACTAGACTGTTGGGGGAGGGGAGAGCAGGAAAAACTACTCAGAGATCACTGCAAAGATGGCAATGGACCATGGGTAGTGATGAGATGTGGATGGGTTCTGGACATATTTAGAAGGCACAGCTGATGGGGTTTCTCAATGGATGGGACATGGGATGTAAAAGGAGAGGAGTCAGGGACAACTCCAAGATTTTTGTCCTGAGCAATGAGAAAGACAGGGCTGCCTCCATATAGGAAGTGGAGGCTGCAGGCAGAGCAGTTTGAGAGAGATGATGAGGTGCTCGGGTTTGGACAAGCTGGTACGACTTTAAGACTTCCAAGTGGAGATACTGAAGTAGACAGTTGGACATATGGCTCTGGGGTTAAAGGAGAAATAAACTTGGGAGTATTGTATTTGACACTGATATTGTTTATAACAACAACCCAATGTATTATTACCAGATCAAACAAATATTAATAGCAATAATGCAATGTCCTCCTACATAGAGAAGAACAAGACACAGAATCATACCAAATGAAAAGGATTAACTGCTGACATAACAACAAGCTGACTGAGTCAGTGGTCATGCTCATTTCAACCACTTGAATAAAATGAAGAAAAACCGCACCCACTCCTCTTTCCCAAGATGGGGACTTGCTCTTTTGTCAATATTTACAGGAATCCGCATCTGACTATGTGAAACAGACATGAGCTCCCAAGCTGGGATACTGATGAGATCCTTTTCAGATCTGGAGAAATATGTGTATTGGTCACTAAAAGAAACAACACTGGCTCAAAGACAATTCAACGAAAGAACAACAATGAAACAGTCTTTAGTTCCTAAGTTGCTTCTCTTTCTGCCTTATTCACGTGTAAGGGTAATAAGTGTCCAAAAAGTTTTCTTTTTAGATTCTGTTTTTAAGGCATGATGACACTGGAAAAGGCTGCTGGTGGGTGGAAGTTGTACAGCTGAGGAAGATGATGCAACCTTTAAAATTTCATCTCACTGAAAAACAGAAAACATTTCAAAGCCACCAATAAACCTGCCTTAGCTGTGTTACTAGTGCCCCAACTCCCAAGGTGGTTGCTGGCACAGGCGTCAAAGCAAAAATTTCAGTACTAAATTGAACTAACAGACATTCCCTAAGCACAGCATGAGTGCTGCTTATTCCTAACTGGAAAATTCCACAGTGTTTATCAAATTCTAAGCAAGGGTATGATGCTCAAAAGTGTGCCATAGCAGACATCACTGACAGCCACAAACATGGATGGCTCTAGGTGTGTTGCCATGGCAACCGTGTACTCAGCAGCAACACACTGCCTGCCTCTCACCAGAGGCAAAACAGGCAGCTTCCTGGTGGGATCAACCCAGGGAGTCACAGTGCAGGCCAGCTCCATCACACACACACACAGGCAAACCCACAAGAGACTTCTTTCAGCACTCTGAAACCATATCCACCTAACCCCTAGAAAAAATCCCCAATATCTTTTCTGTACCATGGAACACACTCAAGTCAACACACCCAAACTCAAGGCAGTAGAGAAAAGTATAGAGAGAGATGGTGAGCATTTGAAAGGTATCAGGGTCAAAGTAACTGACTGTTTCACTGTGGCCAGGCAGGAGAGGCTTTGCTGGGGAGGAAACAGAGAAGTGCCACTCCACTGGAAAACCCATCCTGAAAAACGCTCCACAAATGGGAGGGGAGTCAGAAGGGAAGCAGGCAACCACAGCAGGAGCCTTGGAGGGAAGCCACTGACACAAAGAGGGAGAGATGTGATGGGAAGATGGCAAAAGCCCCAAAGAGCCATCCAAAGCCTCAGACTCCAGAGCCCACCAGGCACGACTTTACGGTACTCCACATTACGATGAAATAAAACAGAAACTGGCAAACATACCTTTTCCACTGGGAGAAAGTCATTTTCTACTTCAATCGACCTTGGCCTTAGTTTTATTGGCTTGTCTTTGAAAATATCTCCAAAGCCCACTCCCTTAACTTTCTTCGGTTGGATTGCAGCAGTTGCGACAGTTCCGTTGGCGCCTTCAGATTTGGTACTGCTCGAGTCACCGCCATCGCTCTCGGAGCCAGTGGTTTCCCGTAAACCTGCCAAGAGTCAGGGACGGGGAGAGAAAGATCTCAGAAACCAGCCGTAGCCCTGAGGAACTGCCAGGCCAGCCAGTCACCACCTCTCGGCGTGTCACTGGATACAGAATCATCTGCACTAGAGTTTTGTATTCAGTTTGAGTTTTCAATCTCCCCAGCCCTAGCCTTTTTTTTTTTCCCCCAAATTGTGATTTGGGTCAAAGTTTACAGAGCACATTGGTTTTTCATTCAAGAATTCGTTCACATCTTGTCTGGGGACATGCATAGCAATCCCCACACTGTAATAGCACTCTTCCTACTTCCTCATATTTACATTTCCCTTTGTCCTTCTGTCCTATTCCTCCCTGTCTTCTGAGCCTAGCTAGGCCTTACTTTTTTTTTTTTTTAATTGTGATTTGGGCAAAAGTTTACAGAGCAAACTCACTTTCCATACAACAGTTCATATATACTGTCTCATGACATTGACAACAATTTCCCACAGTGCAGCAGCTCCCCTCCCACTTCCTCCACATAGTTACCTCTTCCCTGTGTCTTTCCCTCCCATGC